ATACAGGAGAGAAACCTTACAAATGTAATGAATGTGGCAAATCATTTTCATGGAACTCATACCTGCAAGTTCACTGCAGGTTCCATAAAGGAGAAAAACCTTACAAATGTAATGAATGTGGCACATCTTTTACACAGAACTCAGATCTTAAAGTTCATGAAAGAATCCATACAGGAGAGAAACCTTACAAATGTACCCAATGTGACAAATCATTTACAGCGAACGCACAACTTCACCTTCACTATAGATCCCATACAGGAGAGAAACCTTACAAATGTACTGAATGTGACAAATCATTTACAGGGAATGCACAACTTCAGCGTCACTACAGATCCCATACAGGAGAGAAACCTTACAAATGTAATGAATGTGGCAAATCTTTTATACAGAACTCAGACCTTAAAGTTCATGAAAGAATCCATACAGGAGAGAAACCTTACAAATGTAATGAATGTGGAAAATCCTTTATTAAGTCGTCACTTCTTAAAGTTCACCAAAGAATCCATACAGGAGAGAAAAATTACCATACAGGAGAGAAAACTTACAAATGTAATTAATGTGGCAAAACTATTACAGAGAACTCAAGCCTTCAATTTCACCACAGAGGGCATACATACACAAAAGGCATATTGTATTCATATTCAGTATTTCTTTCAAAAACAAATTATGAAAATTATTTCACCCAGCATTAATCTGAAATAATTAATAATGGTATAGGATTCATTTTCAAATTCATAAATGAAACAATATTGTAAAGTATAAGAATTTAGCCAGAATAGTACTAATAACTATCTTAATACAAATATGTTGCTTAATGTTTGTATAGTTTAGTATGGGAGAATATTGGCTTTTGTGTGATATATTCTCTTTGAAGATTATTGTGCTTTTAGCGTTTGACCTTTTGATAGAGTAATTTTTAATCTGTAATCTCATATTTATCACAATTTTCAATAAATGCATTACCACTGTTTTTTATTACTGTTGCCTTGGTGTGATAAATGTCTATTTTATGCTGGGATTGTATCACTCATGTCATACAGTTCCTTATTGCTAATGCCAAGAGAAACATGTGGCAAAACATAAATTTGATTGCTTTAGACAAATTCCAAGACAACAGTTTGGAAGCTAATACATGGTGAGAGGAGGAAACTATGAGGTTTCCCGAGTGCATGCTTGTTGTGTAAATGTGTGTGTGTGTGTGTGTGTATGTGTGTGTGTGTGTGTGTGTGTGTGTATTATGGGCAAAATTACTTGTATTACAAGGAACATGACTTCTGGTCTAGACAAAATTCTAAATGGACAGATTGTGTGAGATGGGGGTTGAAGCTTTAAGATGACAAATCCTAACCTCATCAAAATATTGAATTTCATGAGATGTTCTGAATAATGTCCACGATAGAATTCTCACAATTTTTGTTGAAATTCCATGATGTCACGAATCAGTTACAAAATGGAAAAGGCTTCATTTTACTTATTGCAAATGACAATGTATTTTGTATTTGAGTCTCTGTTCACAACTTTGTATTTCAAGCAAGGTGTATAAAGATAGTTAGGTCATTTACATTTCTCATTATTATTAACACAGCAGCGATTAACAGGGCTGAGCACATGTCTATGGAGTAGGATAATGAGTTTTTTATCCAGATTCTAAGAAGTGGTACATGTCTGGGTCACGTGTTACTCTTTTAAGAATTGTCCACACTGATTTCCATAGCTACTGTGGTAGTTTGCAAACATGAGTGTAGATTCTGGTATCACTTTGTCATTAACAATCAATTGTTTTGCTTATATTTGCTTTTATGACTATAAGTACATCAATGCATCAGTAATAATGTGAGGCCTTGGAGCCTCCTCTTGTCATCGATCCCAATTTGGGCCAGTCACTGGACTTCCTTTCCCTCAGTCTATTCTTAATTTTTGTCCCTGTAGTCCTTTTAGGCAGAGACAATTCTGGGTCAAAGTTTTCACTGTGTGATGATAACAGCTTTATTTGTGACTGCGATAATCAGGAAACAACCCAGATATTTACAAAGAGGAATGGATGCACACAATGTGATTCATTTACACAATGGAATACTATTCAGGTATTAAGGACAAGGACATCATGAGTTTTGCAAGCAAATGGATGGAACTAGAAAATATCATTCAGAATGAGGTAACTCACTAACAACAGAACCTGCATGGTATATATTCACTAATAAGTGGATATTAGCCAAAATAGTACAGAATAC